TCCCCTCTGTGCAGGCTCAGTCACTCACGCCCAGACTGAGCGCTGGCCCCTGCCGGCTGCTTTACTGCCCCCAGATTAAAAGAGCAGTCAGCTTTTCTCCTTACGTAGAACCAACATCTCCTGAACGTCTGGGATATGTCAGCTTTTGAGTTCCTCAGAACACGAGAACGGGCCAGATCCCCGTTTACCAACAGTAATAAATACAATAAGCACACAGCCCCCTTTTCAGCTAAAGACACAGGCAGTCCTCTAGGGTGAACACGTGTCCTCTTTTGTAGAGGGCTGTCCCCAATCTGAAGGGCTGCCCAGTCTGAGTCCAGTTGAAAGGTAAAGACGGTGCCAGAACAGCAGACCTGTACAGGCCGGCAGGTCCCAGGTGGCGGGTCACAGTCTTCCACACTGCGGTGTTGGGGTCTGTATATGATGGCGCGGTGGGGAGTGGTGGGTGAGGCTTGTCCCTGGACCGCCGGGCTGGCGCCAAGTGTGGGCACGGTTGAGCGGCTGTCAGGTGCCACACCTGCTCCTCTTCTCCACTGCTACTGGCTTGCCCTCTACCTCTTTCTCTGGCCAGACAATGGAGGCAATGAGGAGGAGCCTCTGATGCGGCAGTTCCTCCACCTTCTTGCTCACTGGCTCTCTGCCTGCCCAGCAAGCAAGTGTGGCAGGGAGGAGGAGGAGGAGGAGTTGGTAGCAAGAGTGGTTGGAAAATAAGCCACTGAGGAAGGGAACCTGTCAAGGGTGCCTTGCCTAAAGGGCCCCAGAAACCTGGCCCTGCTGGGTTGAGCAGCAAATGCAGGGCCCTCCACCCCACATTTCCTCTGGAGCTGCTGCAGGTTCCAGAGGGAGATGGGGGAGAAATGTCACCCATGGGTGCACCCCCTTTCTACACACCACTCCCTACATATTTGCCACTGCCCCTGGTCTTGCATCTCTGCTTGGGTTCCATGTGCACGAAGCGAGAAGGTGGAGATGTTTGGCCCTTTTCTCTCCCCTCACTGCTCTACTGCTCCGGGAAGAGGAGTGAAAACTGGGTGGCCTTTGTCTTCTTTTACAGAAGACAGTCCTTTACTTGCCCTGCCCAAGCCTGGGCCAAAGGTAACAAACCAGGAGGATGGCTGGATTTTGCCCATCAGCAGTGAGCCCCTGGGCAGTGGACTGCACAGGTGGGCACACAGGTGGCCTGCTCAGCATCCTGCATGCTCTGGCGAGAGGGACTTCGATTCCACTGAAACGATCAGCATCCTTCCTCCATGTGACTTGGCAAGTGTCAGCTAGCACACGCCTGTTCCATGCAAACGCATGTTCGCCTCTTTATTTTGTTGGGCGTTTCCTCTTTTGTGGCAATCCTGAGTGGCCACCCTACAAGGCCACAGAAAGCCAGGCAGAAGCTTGGGAAGACCAGCAGTCATTACAGGGACCCTGCCAGGTGCTGTGTGGCCCTGGCTTCTCTGCCCACTCTTCCCAGTCGCACAGACGCAGCCATCGGTGTGTTCCTCCATCTCCTGGTCCCTCCATCTTGTGCAAGGCGTGCCTCGCTAGCACTGGCTGGCTCGTGAGAGGCAAAGTTCCAGCTCGGAGACTCGTGGTCCTGGCGGCGGCGCTCCGACACTCACTATTGTCTGCAGGGCTAATCGGCTGTGCAGTGTCCCACTGAGAATTCCATGGGAAAATTCCCTTGGATGGAAATGGAGGAATAATCCACAGGTCACCGGCAAGAGTTTCCCAGCGTCCTGCGCCTGTCATGGATCGAATGCCCTGCTGGCTGTCTCTGCCTGCTGGGCATCGGAATCAAAAGCCTTGCTGGGAGCTGAAAGACTCAGCCGCTCCTCCATTTGCACAGCATCTAAGCTCTGGGCTTTTTGTTTTGGATGGTGTCAAAAAATGTCTCCAATGGCAGGCAGCCCTGGCAGAGCAGCGGCTCTGGCAGCTGCGGGGGCCTTTGTCTGCCATGGGAATGGGAGACCCTGCAAGGCCTTTCCATGGCAGAAGTGCTGAATGGGGCATCACTGGAGGTTCCAGCGAGCTGGAGAGGTGGAATGCTTGCAGATGTGATGTTTGCGTGGAGCCGAAAGATGGCAGTTTTCCTCCCCCGCCACCCCAAAATCAGGGTATCTTGGCTGTTTCTGCGATCCTCAACCCAGTGCTTTTGAGTAATGAAGACTGACTCATGCTGACCATGGCTCACCCTCTCGAAATCTGTGCGTGTGTGCACACGTGCGCAATACAATCATGCAACCTGGGATCTAGAATGAAGGCAATTGAGAGCGGCGTTTGGGTGGCCGTGTGTCCTAATTTGCAGGGGAAAGTCCTCTATTTGAAGGACTTTCAGAGGGTAGTCCTCTGTTTAAAGGTTGTCTCTGTTTGAAGCACTGTCAGGCCATGAACTGTTCAAAGACAGAGAAGAGGCTTGAAGTTTTCCATCCACTGTTAGCACCTGGACAGCACCTGAGCAGGTAGGCATGTAGCTGGGAAGACAGAGCAGGTCAGTCCCGTCCTTGTGGCGAGATGAGATGCACGGTGTTTCTGTTTAAATGAAAAGCATTCTTTCTCTAAATGGCTAGCTATCAATTAGGGTATGCATTTTTCCAGTTTTTAAAAATTCAGCTTGCAGGCAATATAAATAAATAAGTGATATTCCAAAGAAGGGAAAGAAATATAGGAAAAAAGAACTCTCAGCAGTAAGAGAGCCTTTTAACTGTAATTTACAGAAGAAACTTTCCTGTTTATAACACCTAAAAATAGGGCATAAGATCAAACCTTGTCTTGCAATTTATCCTCCCAAAAGTGAACAAAAAATAGTATTTTTGTACATTTATCATTAGGCATTGTGAGAAGCTTTGGACACATTTTGTGGGAAATCAACATGCAAATTGAATTATGAGGGAACTGATGAGTATTTGTATAGACTGCCTTCTTGCAAAGTAGGTTATAGTTTTATAAGGGGAATTATATGTCATTATTTCTTAAACCTCTCCATTAGGCTAAACTATTCTGTTGTTTTCCAGTACAGATATTCTGACAACTATTAGCAAAGCAAGTACAAATTGTAGATCTGTAGTTTCTCCCACTTTCTCTAGATAATCCATTAGGACACCTTTAGTGTTTGTAGGGAGTTGATATTCTGTTCTCTCCTTGAAACTGTTTAAAACATCATTCTAAATTTAGTTGAAATTTATTTTATCATGTCCTCAAGATATGATGCAAATCTGCTTTAGGAGTTTGGCATCTCCAGCAGAGAACCATGTAGCTAAGACCATTTTTGCTTAAGCAGATGCAAATTTCATGCAGATCAGTATCTTCTTTTTGTCCTCTCTTTTGGTGTAGGATTTCCTCCTTTTTGCTGGTACACAAAGAGTTGCAAAATACAGAGATTGTGGGGGTGCAGCTGGTTAAAAATGTAAGGACTAGGATCTATATTTTGTTGCACATGGAACATGCCCATGGAAATCACTGACATTAAACTTGTCATGGCTAACTGAAGCCCCATTGATTTCAATGGATCTGTTCTATGATTGAGTCTGGATCTGAACCAAGAAGAACCCAAGGCTCAGCATCCTGTTTTTCAGAGTGATCAACCAGATGTTGCCATTATACTCCCAAGTATGGTGTGAAGGGAACTACGTTTCTCCACTGGTTAACTGGAACCAGAGGTACACTGCCCCTGAATATGGAGATTCAATCATGGCTAACAGTCTTGGTTAGATTTGCCCTCTACGTATTTGCTGAATTCCCCTTTAAAGCATATTACATTGATGGCTATCAGTATTGAAGCAGTGAATTACGTATTTAAAGGGAGAAATTATTTTCTCTGTCTTGACTCTATGAGCAATATGAAAGGTTTAGAGTTTGTATAAAGCTGGGAGTTGTAAAGTTAAAAGTGGGGGAAGTTATACAGCCTCCCCCAACTTTCCACTTGACGAATGCAGGATTATAGCTGGGAGTCCATTGTTTGCTTTTCGAGGTCTGGTTCTTCCTGTCCCGTTCCCCAGCCCAATCCCAGAGTAGTTCACAAGCAATCAGTTCCACAAGGCAGTTACTCCTCACACGTGTCCCATCTAAGAAGGCGCAACACACAAGGAAAGAGAGATGCAAAGGGCAGAGGGGGAAATGGCGTAGCCACCCATTGGGTGACTGCTGATGATACCTGAGAGAGGAGAGCTCTCTCAGCTGCTCTCGTGCGCCTAATGCAGAAAATTGGGGTTAAAAAACGGTTGTGCCTCATACGACTGAAACGGGACAACTTTTATGGTCTTCTAATGCTGCACTAGCAAGGTATGGAAGGGAAGGGCAGGTGCTGGTGTGGGATCGACTTCATTTTCTTTTAACCAGGGCTTGGCGCCAACAGGCATTGAACTAACGAATGCTGAGCCCAGGAATCTGTTTTGAATTCGAGTGCCAGGAGGCGACGGGGCTCGTAGTTCTTCCGCTCACAGAAACGCACTTCTGGTTACCCCCAAACTGTTTTCCTTTCTGCAGAATAACTCAGGGCATTTGGGATGCTGATTTTGTTGTCGTTGCTAAAAAACAGGGAGTCAGAAAGAGAGCTGTGTTGCTGGTTGTGCAGCCTTCATTCTGTGAGCATTCATAGACTTCTTCTCAGCTCGGCTTGCTGTCCAAGACGGGGGCAAGAATGAGAGGAACTCCTTGAGCACTGTTGGAACAGACTCCGTGGAACTTTAATGCATCCCTAGTCAGAAATGCTTGCCAGTCAGTTTAGGATTATCCAGAGATTTACCGGTAGATCCAGATCTAACTTGAGCCCAGCATCTCATGCCTGGGTTCCTGGCACTGGAATGGAGTTTAATTTAGCTTTTGGACAACTGCAGCTCATCCCCATAGACTGCAAGGGAAGGGCCGAAAAGGTGTGGGTGCTGCCACCCAAATCTCAGAAGCCCAGTGGGTGGGTTGTTTGGAGGCAGAGCTTGCAGTGGGCTTTGGCGGCGGCTGTTGCTCGCTGGCAATGACAGAGTCATGCTCTTTGTGTTTTACTTTGTCTGCAGAACTCAATCCGGCACAACCTGTCCCTGCACACGCGCTTCATCCGTGTCCAAAATGAAGGCACTGGCAAGAGCTCCTGGTGGATGCTGAACCCCGAGGGTGGCAAAACGGGGAAGACGCCACGCCGGCGGGCTGTCTCCATGGACAACAACAGCAAGTTCCTGCGGATCAAAGGCAAAGCCAGCAAGAAGAAGCAGCTGCAAGCTGCCCAGGAGCGTGGGGAGGAGAGCCCGGCCAGCCAGCAGGCCAAGTGGTCAGAGAGCCCGACTTCCCACGCGAGCGAGGAGTACGACGCCTGGGCTGACTTCCGGACACGGGCCAACTCCTCGGCCAGCACCCTGAGCGGGCGTCTCTCGCCCATCATGGCCAACCACGAGCCCGACGAGCTGGAGGAGGAGGACGGGACCCCCTCGTCCCCGCTGATGTACCCCAGCCCGTCCAGCACCATGTCGCCCTCCCTCGGCGCCCGCTGCTCCGTGGAGATGCCCCGGCTGACGGACCTCACCGGCACCATCAACCTGAACGAGGGCCTCGGAGAGAGCCTGCTGGACGACCTGCAGGACAGCTACAGCATGAGCCCCACCCAGCCCCTGCCCACCGGCGGCCTCCGGCAGAGGAGCTCCGGCTTCAGCTTCAACGCCAAGTGCTCTGCCGTGGGTGCCGGAGGGGGCGGCGGAGGGGGCGGCGGCGGCGGAGGGGGTGGCGGCGGCGGCGGCGGCGGCGGCACGTACTGCGGGACCATCTACAGCCAGCCGGCCATGGGCCTCCTGCGCCGCCTGCCCATGCAGACCATCCAGGAGAACAAGCAGGCCACCTTCGCGCCCATGAACGCCTACCGCAACACGTCGCTGCAGGACCTGCTCTCCTCCATCTCCTACGCGCACAAGGAGGGGGAGCCCCCCATGCCCCCCGCCGGCAGCCTGGGGCCGCCCCACCGTGGCCACAGGCCGAGCAGCCTGGTGTGCGGGGCGGGGGGCGGGGGGGAGATCGGGCTGGTGCCCTACCCGCCCCACGCCGCCTCCCTCGTGAAGAGCAACGCGCTGTACCACCCGCCGCCCGCCAGGCACCACCCGCCCCTCCACAACAGTGCCTTACCCGCTCCCATCAGCCTTATGAGCCTGCCCAGCGAGGCGTGCAGCATGGTGGCCATGCCTCACCACGGGCACCACCTCCACTCCTACGTCAACAACCAAGGGGCGCACATGAGCTTGCTGGACTCGTTGCAGGGACCCTACCCAGAAGCCATGCACACCCCCGTCTTGGGCCAGGACAGATTCCCCGCGGACTTGGACTTGGACATATTCAACGGGAGCCTGGAGTGCGACGTGGAGTCCATCATTCTCAACGACTTCATGGACAGCGACGAGATGGACTTCAACTTTGACTCGGCTCTTCCGCCGCAGAACAGTCTCAACATGGCCACGTTGCCCAGTGCCCCGCAGCCCGCCAATCAGAGCTGGGTGCCCGGGTGAGACCCGCTCGGACAACTCTGGCCCACCAGTTGGCAGTGGTGGGGGGGGGGTCATGCATTGAAACAAACTCTCTCTCTCTCTCTCTCTCTTTCTTCCTCTTCCCTCCCCATCCTGTCTTTTCTTTTCTTTTCTTTTTTGCCTTCATTTGTTCAGCCAGGCTAGAGCCATCTGTTTAAACCTGACAACACTAAACACACACACACACACACACACACACACACACACACACACACACACGACGTAGGGTGAAATGTTTTGACAGGTACTGGCAGCTTCCCGCTTGTGCCAGGTGTATTGTGCAGTAAAGTCGGGTCTGTCTTTGATGTGTGCAGTAGGCACAAGGAAGCCGTGACACGGCAGAGCTGCTGGCCTCCCCCCTGCCCCCCCCCAACCCACACTATTGCACAGAAAGAAGGAACAGGTGATTGGTGGCCCAAAGAACAGACTAGACCCGTCACCAAACCTCCGTGTTGACCCCGATGGCCTCCGTGAAGTTCTGCCCCCCTCCTGCACCAGTTCTTTTCCCAACTGGTTTTCCTCGCACCTCAGTTCTAATTTGAAGGTTCCCTCCACCTTTGCTCATCTGGGGTACCGGGAGCCACAAATTCCCTTCTTTATCAGGGTCTCTTGCCCCCTCTACACAGACTGTTATTATGATTATGATTTATTATTGTTATTATTAATTTATTTTCTTTCTCTGCTGCCCAGTGGCCGAAATCACTCGCTGGAGTGATTCAACATACAATAAAAGAGCATAAAAGGTCATGACAGATATAACCCCCTGCAGAATTTAAGCTACTTAAAGCATACTGACAGCACAATCCTGCACATGCGCACTCGGATCACATGTGTGTCCAGTGGGGTTGCTCCCAGGAAACAGGGTAAAAGATGGCAGCTGCCGGCTTCCTTTGCCAAGGAGCCTGCCACGCTGAGCATTCTGGGTGCCGCTAACCTGCTTAGCCCAAGTTAGGTCTGCTACCTCCTAGCCTGGTGGTTCCCACTGAAATCAGTGTGGGTGTCCTCCATCAGCCCGGGAGAGACATTAATCAGCATCACTTGTGGCACGGCTGTCGCGGAAGGGAAACCTCTCCAGTGGCCGGATCCAGGCAGCTGACACTGTGGACCGCGGTGCCCAGGGCACAGCGGTGGAAACAGAAGCCGAGCCAATCCGGCCCAAGCCAGCTTTGCTGCTGAGGGGACTTCCTGTGCCGCGTGCCTGCAGCACCCCCATGCAGCGGGTGGGGCGGAATGCGTGTGTGCGGCGCAGCACGGCGGTGGACCGTGTTCAGGTCCTCGTGGTTTTGCACACACAAACAGCACGTTTGCAGGCACTGCCGTAAGAGTTAGCTGGGATGGCCCCTGTGGGTGCAGCGGGTTGGCTGGCTGGAGGAAATGCAAAGGAACAGTGGCGACTATTTGTTTTGGTCACCTGCACACTCTTGCCAACAAACATCTTGCAGGGCTAATGCAACGGCTTAGCAAGGGCTGTACGAAGATCTGGGCTTAGGGTGAAGGGTAGGAAGGCCTGAGAAGCAAATTAATCTAGGAATGGAAGAGAAGGGAGGCTTGTGAGCTGTTCTGAGAAGAAAGAATGAATCTGGAGTTTGATGGTCCCCACATGATCAAGAAAGGGGAGGAGATGTTCCTTCCCCACCCAAGTAGGTATAGGGTTCAGGGCCAAGAGGTAGAAAGAAAGAACATAGCTGAAAACAGAGGGGTGATCTTTCTCTGGAGTGCCCAGACCAGCGCACGAGAGCCCAGGTCCTACCCTAAGAGGGAGTGGTGGTGGAGAAATGTCACTCGTGGCTTGGGAGAGAGGGGTGCTAGAAGCTAGAGCTTCCTCACACGGAGGAGCCCTAGACAAGCCAGAGTGGTAGCCAAGCTCTTCAGTCTCCACTTGACCTCTTGGATGTATTCTGGACTGCCACCAGAAAGGTTCTGGCTTGGGGCAAAAGACCCCCTCCCATTCCATGCACACAAACTTACGGGACTGGCCATCAGATCTTTCTTCAGCACTGACCATGGGGCAGCATTTCGGCCTCCTGGAATGCTCACTTTGCAACCATAAGGAAGGAAGTGTGTTTGGAGCACAGAGGGACAACATGCAAGCCAGCTTGGATGAATGCGCCGGTGCGCCTCAGCAAGGCTTTTCCTCAGCAGGGCTTTTCCTCTTCCAGCCACTGCTGGGCTCTAGTCGTGATGTGATGCAGTTTGGCAGGGACATCAGGCTGGTTCATACTGTCTTTGTGGCAGAGGCTCTGCTGGGCTTTCAGGGAGGGGTTCTCCCCTGCCCTGGGCTGGAAGCATGGCCAGGATGCCATCTGCAACGCCATCTTCACAAGGTCCTGCATTGCAATGTCATCTCAGTGTCCTCATTGACACAAGGCTTATGAGAATGGAGCCAGGCTTACTCAGGAGAGGACAAACCTCCATAGAATGGAGATGCAAAGACACAGGGTCAAGTGACGCAGGCTGGAAATTGTGCCCAGGCGTTGGCGTATTTGGGACAGGCAGTCCCTGAGTTATGAATGGCTGAGTTGCAAACAGCCAGTACTTACAAACTAACTTCCATGAAGCCTATTAATTAAAAAAATACTACTGAGGAAAATTGTCATTACCATAGAGAGATAGAAAGTAGAAGGGGAGAGAAGGAGGCCACAAAGCATGCCTTCCTGCCCCCCCACCCTCAAATCTGGAAAGGGAAATCTCTCTGCATTTCCTTGCTACAAAGAGTAGGCACTGGTGCCTTTGGCTGGGTGGGGACGTGTGCCCTAGAGATATTTGCAGTTTTTCCACTTTCATGGGGGTCCTGCACCCCTAAACTCTGCAAATGATCTGACTTACCTACCAATTCAACTTAAAGACGAATTTCCATTTTCTCTGGAACAGAACTCATTCGTAACCCAGGAGCTGCCTGTATTCGTATTAGAGAGTCAGAATTCTTCCCTCTCCACCTTAAGTTGAATCTTCTACCCTGCACAGATGTTGCAAAGGAAAAAGACAGGCACAGTTGTGCTTGCTGTGAAGCATTGAGACCTGTTTCTTCCAGTGATGGGGAAGGGGCCAAAAAGCATATACAGGACACCCTAGAAGTTGTTAGTTAGTATCGCCCTCTCGGTTGCCCAAGACTCGGCTGGACATTCTTACCCACTTTGGAACAGGCTTCCTGGGATCATAGAACAGCAGAGTTGGAAGGGACCAGTTGGGCCATGGAGGCCAACTCCCTGTTCAGGGCAGGGTTCCAAGTTAAAGCACCATTTAACAGTACTTCAGGCTGGGAACATGGCTGTCTAAACCAGCATGGAGGTTCTCTGGAGTGAGAACTACATTCGGCCGGGCCATGTCCAGAATCCTTGCAGCAGTGAGACCAGAAGCATCCTTCCGGTGCATTTGTCTCCACTCTCTATTCTGCCCTGTTTTCACAGGAAGAAAAGCCCTCCAGGAAGGCTGCATGGCTTGCATGCGTGCCGAGGGACGTCAGGGTTGGGCCAGCGCTGTCCTGGCACTCCAAGATACAGGCATCACGGAGGTGGGGCGGGGTGGGGGTCAATGCCAAATTATGTCAAGGGCTTGTGCCAGAATATGCTCCTACAGACCATTTATACAAGTGAGACACACTCTCTCCTCTCCCCCAGCCCCTGCTTTATTTGAAAGTCCCTTTTTTTGCTAGAATCAGCCTGAGAGCTGGCTGAAAGATCAGCATTGCTAGTGGTAACATTTCAAGTGCAGGGCCGTCCTGAGAGTCTGCAGCCATGCCAGATGCAGAAGCCAGGCACGCAGGCAGCTATGTTGATCCATTTCAACAAGCCACTTCTAGCAGTTTCCATTTCCACCAGGACATGGGCCGTAATCGCCCATTTTAGGTGAAGCCGTCCCAGAATGCAGTCGGCCCCAGCTACAGCGAGGCCTGCAGTGCAGCTCAGGGGGAAGGGGCAAATCCCAGTTGGTGGCAGGTAAGGCCAGCATCCCAGTTCATAAAAAGACACGGGTGCCACATGCCTATGAGCTTTGATTCCACTGCACCATTAAAATGTGTGTGTGAAAAGATCCTTTACTTGTGTGTGCCAAGAGCCGGGTCACGCAGGCTTTGAGTGAAGAGGTTAACTGTCATGTAGGCAGAAGTGGAAAAGAGAGGGAGGGAGAGGCCCCAGGTGATGGTCCTTTAAAATGCTAAAGCATAGGAAATTGCCTTATAGCAGGTATGATTCTTGGTCTGTGGCTCATTAAATCTGCCTCCACCCAGCTTGCTACGTGGCTCAGGCACATCTTGGTTAAGCATGGGGTTATCCCCTTGTCATGTGCCATTTGACCCTTTATCCCATTGATGTCAATGGGAGAATTGAACCGATGTTTCTCTTTGAAGCCCTTGCCTTGGTTTCTCCCATCCAAATCGATGAGACCATATTGCACCTGTAGGACAGCATCTCCCCAAAGTTAAGAGACTCAGAGGCAAACCTTGTTTCCATCCTGTGGTACCTAAGCATATACTTGCTCTCCTAGTTAAGTGGGTGAAGAGGTAAAGCACCAACTTTAAACAGACAGGGAGGTTGTGCATGATTTGGCCTTAGAACGGATTATTCTGAACCATGAAGGGGGACCCATTAAGGAAGGAAGGACGGAGCCTTCTGCTTGCACGACTGTATTGTTTCCACATGTTGCAGTGCTGGTTGTGTGTTTTAAATTGACTGGATGTGTGTTCCAGTGTGCACAGCAATGCCCAGAACTGTCTTTGGGGCTGCCTTGTCTTACACACAGCTTGCTTCTCATGCCTTTGAACTTGGCTGGGGCCACTGTGCAGACCTCACTATTACCATGCAGAAAAACACACACTTCTAAACAACAACAACAACAACAACAAAATGTTTGGAAACAAACCTTCCTTTGATACAGAGAATCCTTCAGTTGTGTTGGACTACAATTCCCATCACGCTGCCCAAGCCTGCTCTGTGGTGGTTTTCACGAAGCGTTCTGAAAGAGAATGCATTTCACATTCCGTCCTGATCGATTTCCCGTTTTTTCACTGTGTGCCTCAAGGAAGGGAGCCCTCTCCGCCGCCCCACGCCGAGCCTTCCCAGGCCCCCACCCAGATCTCCCATCAGTAGGCAAGAACAGACGCAACAGAAAGGCCTGCTTGGAAGGGGTGTTCTGTGCCAAAATAAGCATGTTCCATAGCAAACTGAGTTGGCCCCACAAGAAGGCACTTGAGCAGATTGCAGGCTCTGGCTTTGTGAACATGCCGCAACCCACATTTGCAAGGAATGAGGGAAAAGCCCTCCCCGCCCCCAGTTTCCTGCACTGGATCTATTTGTTTTGCACTGACATTCATTTGGTCCTGCCCACCCACCTTGCCCAGGTGTCAACAGGCCACCAGACATGGGGCACCCTATTCTGCTACGGTTCACCCACATTTCCCCCGGAGAAGGGGAATGTTGGGCATGCGGAAGAGGGAGCCTCTCCCCCCAGAGTTGGCAGGGGACTGGGTTTGTTTAGCCCATCTTTCTCTGTGCTTCGGCTCTGATTCTGCTACAGGCTAAGAAAAGAGAAAGATCTCATGTGCTTACCAGTTTATAAATGTTTGCACTGCTGGATCATGTATGGAATTTAATATATTTTGGTTCTATGTGTGTTTTGTTTTGAACCATGCTAGTGATTATCTCCTTCTCCTTCTCCCTTTCCCTCTCCCCCTCCTCCTCCAATTTGTCCAGCTCAAGAGTTTATTTTATAAAGTTGGCCTTGGCTTCCCCAACCATCCTCCAGGGGGATGCACCATCCCAAACACTGTGCGTTCCAGAGCCCACCCATGTTCAGCGTCATGCCGAGCACGGTCCCTTAAGAAGGGGGGGCGGGAGGAAGCCTCTGCCCAACTGCCTTCAGCCACTGCATACCTACATGCCCCACTGGGACCTTCTTTTCAGTAGACAGGCATAGGATTGCACCCACACTGCTGCCATCATTTCTTTAACCCCTACCCTTTTATCCAAAGTAGCCCTCAAGGCACCTCCATCTTGATGTGATGGAGGGAAAGGAAGGGAAAGGAAAGATCACCGGCAGGGTCATCTTCTCAGTGCCCCTAACTTTTTGCTGGTTTTTAGGAAGAGTGGGCAACATGGTGAAGCAGTGAGCCCTCAGACATCTTTTTTCACCTCCCCCCCACCCTCACAAAGTGCTTTATCTCTTTCGCATTTTATTTTATTTTAGAAAACAACCTTTCCTTACTGTGATTGCTTCAAAGCAAAGCAAAGCGCTCAAATTGCTCCGCCTCCTTCCGCCACCCTCACATTCCACCAGGCCACGCGTGGTCCTGAGGCAGATGAAGATGGTGGGCAGCTGCAGGCCGAGGTGGCGGGGTGTGGCACATCCATTTTGTGGTGGGGCTGCCCGAGATGGTTTCTCAGATTGCCAAATGCACCCATTGGCCCCAAACCTTTGCCTAGCCCTGGGTTGTTGGAAGAGAACCGTAGGGTGCATAGGGGCAGCACAAGGAATGCTGCTCCAGCTTGCCAATCCAGGGAGCTTGAAGACAAGATTCGAGGGGTCACCTCCACCTTGAAGACCACCCATCCCATTTGCAAGGGGATAATCCTCTGATGATGCCCTCTGCCCTATGGCAGGCTTGAGTTCTGCCCTCAGGAAGTGCCCTCGTTCCTCAGCCCCCTTTGTGGTGTGTTAACTGTGGGGTTATTGTGTGCAATGGCGTCCTATTTGCTGAGCGTTGTGTATACTGTCTTGTTGTGGAAGTGCAGTGCAGTGCCGAGGGGCCGGGATGTGCAGAAATGGTTGGGACCAGGTGTCGAGGAGCCCTTTTCCGAGAAGGCAGAGCGGTATCAGAGGGAGATTTTGAGGAAAGCCCCCCGTTTGGGGCAGGGATCTGTGTGCCAGTGCTCCCAGCTTCTGACCAGCAAAGACCGTCAAGGTGGCGGTTCCTCTGAATGCATGAAAGTGGGTCACAAAGGCCACCAGGACCATGGAGAACTGGGATAGTTCAGGAAGGTGAGCTGGGTTATCGCCTTGGAACAGGAGGTGGGGATGGATTGACTCTCCCCCCCCGCCATAATCCCCCGTGGGTATTCTCCACCTTCACTACCAGCTTTAGCAAATGCAGCTTTGACCACCGTGAGAGCCCATCAGTCCACCTGCTTTCCATGTCACCTGAGGCTGGGAGGGGGATGCTTCCTTCTCTTTTCCAAACCCACTGACCTCAGTTGGTGGTCTACCATCTGCTCTTGGCCATGCACACCTCAAGACAAGCGGCTGACAATCATGAAACCCCACATCCTGCTACTGGTTCATCCAACCTGCAGGCAAGCAGGTGAGACCTCCTGGGTGCTGCGGGGGGGGGGGGGGCAGATGGGACGGTGACACTCACAGGTGCATCATTGCCCCAATGTGCTTCTGTCCCAGGGCTAGACACCAAGGTGGCTGCCAGAAAAAGAAAGCATGACATGGCCTTATTTTCTGTTCATGCCAAATGGTTGCTTTTTTTAATGCCCTCCAACAAAACTTAATCCATTCCTTTGTCTAAATATACTGTTCATTTTGTAAGAATGCCTCTATTTGGGCAGATTCCTTGTTTTTTGAATACAAATTGAACTCACATGCCTTTTTTTGCAGGGGGCAGCTCATGAAAATTTGTTTTCAAATTTAATGATGACTTTCTTCTAATCACTGGGAAGGCCTTTGCTTGTGTTGCAGATATTGAAAGTGGTTGTCTCAGAAGGACCAATGTTCTAACTGCTTAAGTGGGTGTCCATCTCTCCTCTCATTGAAAGCAATTGCTTCATGCTGGCATAAGCAACCAGTGTCTAACTTTCCTAAGCAATCCCTTTGCCTCTGTCTTGCAGAATACAGTCAGTGCTCAGCTGGGGGACCTGTTTTCCACCAAGGCTCACCAAAGTAATTTTCAAAGAAAAGGGTGACACAGCACGTGCTGAACACTCCCTTCCACACAACCAAGCATCCTAGAAATCTCAGAAGAGAGGGCAGAACATCTTAAGCCAAAGGCTGTGCCGTTAGGCAAGACTAGTTCCTTAATCTTCTCTTGAGAACGTTTTAAAAAGGGGAATGCAGAGCAGATCAGGCAGGAAAAGGCTGTGCAGGGTCAGCAGCCTGGCCTGTGGTCTGCGGATCCTGAAAAACTCCACAGAGTCTGTCGGAGGCCATCTTTTTGCTTGTACTGTTGTGGGTACATGTGTGTGTGTTCAAATCCCTGTCAGAGGAACGTTCCTTTTGAGCTGCCCCCAGTTCTGCAAGGATGTCTCAGTCAGTCACAGCTCGTCAAGCAGAGCGAATCTCGCCCAGATTCCTGAACTAAGCACAGTCATACTACAACATCCATGCCATTTTG